CACAAGGGTTCATTTCCAGTGAGGGAATTTCCCCGTTGGTGGACAACTGTGTGAAAATCGTGCATCGTGCCAAAGCACCATGCTCAGGGTTTCTACGCGCTTCTTGACGATCCCGAACCGTGCCAGAACACCATTCCTGGGACTTCCACATCGCGAATCAACGTAATTAATTGTTGCGCCCTGGCAAGCCTGAGTCGCTGCAGAACGCCACGTCTTTCACCATTGCGAATCAGTGGATCTCTAGCTAACGTTTAAGTGGAACGTGCGCGGCGGTAAGGCGAGAGCAACATTGTGAGAACCACCCGCGCTCAATGCGTGAAACCTTTGCGAATGTTTAGAACGAAGTGTGCGCGGCGCTACTGCGAGAGCCACACTTTGAACACCGCCCGCCCACAATCAGCGAAACTCTTGCAAGTTTCTACAACGAATGTGCGCGGCGCTAAGGCGAGAGCCACATGTTGAAAATCATCCGCCCTTCATCCGCGAAACTTGTGTAAATGTTTAAAACGGATGCGTGCGGCGCTCAGGCGAGAGCCACATGTTGAAAATTACCCGCTCTAAATCCGTGAAGCTCTTGCATTTGTTTAAACGACTTTGCTCGGCGCGGCGGCGAGAGCCGCATTTTGGAAGCGGTCCGCCCTCCATCTGTGAAGCTGTTGCCAGTTTTCGAACTCAGGCTCATTTGTTGTAGAGAAGTCTCAGGCGAAGCACCGGGCCCGCCCTTCTGAATGGCCTCGGGGTGCGACAGGGAGGAGTTGTTTATAAGGAGAATAAATGAAGGCACCGAAGCCGCCGTTGCCCTTCCCTCCTTTTCGCCTGTTTGGGCCTCCTGGGAGGCCCTGGTCGCCACGGCTGGATTGGCTTCGAAATTATGGTCAGAACGCACCCCAGGAGAGGTCCAGGGATTGGCGGTATCAGCATCTTTAGATCTTAGAGGGGATAGGCTCAGTGGGGAATGCATCGACCCCCAATCGTCCATTGGTCGCCGATGGGAGCCCGATAGCTCACACCGCCCAGGGCCGTGCGGTTTCGTCATCGAGGGCCCCTCGACGATGTCTCGGCGAAGTATCGCCGATTCCAGCTCGATGTTTCCCCTCTGTGCTGGCTTCCCCCCTAAGTACAATCACAACGTAAGGCGTGTAAGCTTTTGAGGGTCCGCGCGGATTTTTTTGACCTGCGCTGGCACCCCCTACCCGGGCGCGCGGAGCGAGCAGGGGAGCTGCGCCGGATGCGCCGCCAGGGGGGCCCAGCGCGCATGTCCAAGAAACTCGCGGGGACTGGCAACAGTTTATGCCTCTGCAGTGTTTTAACTTTCTCCGCTACAATCAACCCGCATAGTCAAGATGAGCGACTTTCCCAGCTTACCCTTGCATCCTTCCCCTTCGGCCCATGCTGGGCCGCTTTCACTGGCCGCACCCCGCCCGCAAAGGGTCGAGATAGCCTTCCAAGGCCCTTGCATCCTTATCGTGCGTCCTTATGATACGGATTGACTGCAACGTTGACCCTACAGGACGGGGAGGGTCACGCGCGCGTGTTCTCGGTCGGAGACTGCACGTTCGTCTCGGGGCTCAAGCCGATGCCGAAGCAGTGCTACCCCGCGGAGGATCGGTGGACAGCAGTCAGGAGGGAGAAACCGGCACAAGCACAAGTCAACGCCGATATTCGGGAGAATATTGACAAATCTGGGACATCGAGGGGAAGAGGCAAGCCGATGAAATAGGGACGCAGACTGGGAAGTCCTGCGGCGCGCACCGCCTGCTGACACCGGCGGTGCACGCCGGCGGTGGCACAGAGACTCGGCGCGCCGCCCTGGAGGCGCGGCTGCGGGCCCGGCCGGGGCCGCCAGACTAAACTTGTCAATTCGGTGCACCTCCTCCTCCTCCTCCTCCTCCTCCTCCTCCTCCTCCTCCTCCCTCTCTCCTCCCTCTCTCCGCCTCCTCCTCCTCCTCCTCCTCCTCCTCCTCCTCCTCCTCCTCCTCCTCCTCCTCCTCCTCCTCCTCCTCCTCTCTCCTCGGCGGCGGGGCGGCCGGTTCGCATGGTAAAAAGCAGAGTGTCGATTAGTGTTTGTGTGCCCCTGGGCTTCTTTCTTTAAGCAAGGCGACGCGGGCATGCCATCTCAGAGGTACGTACGGACCTCTCGGGCCGGCGCTGGGTCACACGTCCCCCTGTCTGCGGCGCGCGCAGGGGGGGAAGTGAGAAGGAGAAGACCTTCTCAGAAGGCGGCGGGGCTTCTCAGAAGCCCTCGCGCCCTCTGAGCAGTTTCTTGTTTGTTTTGTCTTCGGGGAAGGCTCAGAAAACATCTCCGAAGGCCGGGGGACTTCCGAACCTTCCGAGGAGGCCCTCTCCTTCTCACTTCCCCCCCTCGCTCGCCGCCGACCTTGTCCCTCTGGCGCCACCCCTAGTGCGCTTCGCACGCCGCTCGGGGTGGTGGTGGCCCAGCGCCGACACAAGAAACCTGCGCGGACGGGCGATTATTTTTCATCGTCTTCTCGGCCTTCTCCGCCTTAATGTTCTACTCATCCTCCCCTTCCTCTTCTTCTTCTCCTTCTTCTTCTTATGATTCGTATTATTCGTGTTCCTCTTCTTCGTATCATTACTATTATTATCATTTTTGTTATTGTTATTTTTATTATTATGACTATTATTTTTACTGTTGTTATTATTATTATGATTATTATTATTATTGTTATTATTCTTATTATTATTAATAATATTATGATTATTAGTATTTGTATTATTATTATTACTTTCCGTCCTCTTCTTCTTCTTCTCCTTCGCATTCTGCTGGTGGTGGTGGTGACCTGCGCAGACTGGTGACACGTTGTTATGGTTCTGTTTTCGTCTTCTGCCGAAGAACCCAACACGGCATAAGCATAAGCTGTTGGTGGTCCGCGCGGACCGTCAACATTTTATGTTTATGCAGTTGGTTTGCCCCTCTACTCGTAAGTCGGGCATGTCCCTCTACGGGAGGAGTGTTCAGAAATAGTCGAACCAGTCTGGGGACGATTGTTCGTGCTCCCAGTCTTTCATGTTTTCGCAACAGCGTAATTTTGGACCACGTTCCATTCTTCTCCCACCAGCTGCCTGTAGGAGGACATGCCCGACCCAAGTCTGTTCTTCGGAGGCGCGAGACATATCCACAGGATCGCGGCCTGGACTCCTCGGCCGCGATCCCACGGATGCGGAGCGGCCCTGCGCGGATGCCCCGCTCGGAACGTATCCCCGTGGGATCGCGCCTCGGCATCCAGACCGCGAGGGCACGGACACGGACATGTTACCAGTTTGAAACATATCCCTATCCCTATGTTTGACATCACCTCACCTCGATGCCGATCTTAAGGATTCCCTCAGTTTTTGAGGGCCTATCCCTAATATTGTCCTCGTTTTTGCTCGCCCATCGTAGGGATAGGGATACGTTTGAGGCTGGTTAGCATGTTCGTCGCTCGTGAGTTCTGGAGGAGCAGGGCTTCATCGTGTCCCGCATCATCCAGATGACCGAGGCGTCGGTCCGGGGCGAGCCCGAGCGGCCGCTGGGCTGCGGCCCCCCGCGCCCCCTGCCCGACTGCCACTGGCCCTGGGGCGCGGGCATGGTCGTGCTGTCCCTGGGGCGGGGCGACGCCTGCTTCGTCTTCGCCAACAACCACGAGGACGCTCGGTCGCGGCGAAGCCGAGGCGTCACCATACGGAGCTCCCTGGCCGACCCGTCAAGGTGGCGTACACTTCGGGGCCCTCTTTCGGCAGCAAGTCATGGGAGCCTGGTGTACCCTGTGAATTCCGTCTTTTGCGTCGACTAGGCGTCGATTAGCGTCTGGAAGTCGATGAGATAGCGCCGATTCAGTGTCGGTGAGCGTCGACCTGCGTCGATGTAGCGTCGATGTAGCGTCGATCAGCGTCGATTCGCAAGAGCCGATAAGATGGTATGGGAGCCACCGAAGAGGACGGCTCGGGCATCGTGGGCCTCATCGGCATCCTGGCGGTGCTCCAGAAGGATGTCATCGAGCTCTCGAAGGTGAACGAGGATCGGGTCGTGCGAGGCGGGGGCGGGGGCGGTTGGGAAGGGCAGGGGGGCAGGGTACGAGATCTGCTGCGTGCAGCTGGTGTCGGCCTCGCCGCCTGCCGCTTTCCTCGATGCGTGGGCCCGCCTCCGGCGCCTGCGCCGGGATGCGGCAGCAAAGCCAGCCACGTGAGCCGATTCGCTGATACTCACTCCGCTCGTCCGCCCCGACAGGAGAAGCACGGGATCATCGGCAGGATGATCTGGCACTACGTGCACAACACCCCCGTGCACCTTTGGGGCGAGGGGCCCCTGTTGGGCTACTGATGTCCCTGCTTTCGGCTCCGGGCCCTCGCCGCCCTTTTAGGATCACCTCCTCCCGCCTCCTCCCCCTCCTCCTCCTCTTCCCCCTCCTCCTCCTCCTCCTCTTCCTCTTCCTCCTCCTCCTCCCCCTCCTCCTCCTCCTCCTCCTCCCTCTCTCCTCCTCCTCCTCCTCCTCCTCCTCCTCCTCCTCCTCCTCCTCCTCCTCCTCCTCTTCTTCTCTACTCCGCCGCCGTGCAGAGCGTGCTCTGGACGGCGTCCCAGCTGGGCTTCATCGGGGCGAGGTGGCCGATGCCTTTGCTTGCCGAGTCGCTCGGCTGCCCTCCGATGTGGCCCGTGGCTCGGTCAATATTTTTCAGCGGGATGCTGCCGCATCTCTGCCCAGGTCCAGCGCCGATCCAAGAAATCCGCGCGGACCTCCGAGAAAATATACTCAGTCTGTATCGCGGCACTTACTTTGAGATGTAAGGCCGACTTTTTCCAATCATCAACCTCCTTCTAAGAAGCCTTCCCCTCTCCCCCTACCCCCTTGTGCGCGCCGCCAACTGCATCTTTGCACTTGCAGTCCGTTTGCTTTTCTGGACCCCACTGCTGCCACCTGGGCCTCAGTAGCAGACCGACGAGCCACCCCCGCGCCAGCTGCACTCCTGCTGCTCCTCCTCCTCCTCCTCCTCCTCCTCCTCCTCCTCCTCCTCCTCCTCCCTCCCTCCCTCCCTCCCTCCCTCCCTCCCTCCCTCCCTCCCTCCTCCTCTCCCCTCCTCCTCCCTCCTCCCTCCTCCTCCTCCTCCTCCTCCTCTCCTCCTCCTCCTCCTCCTCCTCCTCCCCTCCTCCCTCTCCTCCTCCATCCCTCCCTCCCTTCCTCCCTCCTCCTCCCTCCCTCCCTCCCTCCTCCTCCTCTCCTCCCTCCTCTCCTCCTCCTCCTCCCTCCTCCTCCTCCTCCTCCTCCTCCTCCTCCTCCCTCCTCCACCTCTTCCTCCATCCTCCCTCCCCTCCCTCCCTCCTCCCACCCACACCACCGGCGAAAACAGTCTCAGCGCACTGACGTGTCATGCACCACGAGACCGCCACGCCCAGAACAGCGTGCGAGATGGGGCCTGCGCCGCTCTCGCCGCTGCCGGGCGCTCTAGCTTTTTTTTTTTTTTTTTTTCTCTCTCTCTCTCTCTCTCTTTCAGGGTTTGTGCGCGTCTGGGCGAGCCTGCAGCTGGTCTTCTGCCTTGGCCCAAGTCGGGCATGTCCCTCTACAGGAGGATTTTTCAAAAAATAGTCGCATATTCGTATGGGAACGATTCTTTTTTTAGAAAACTATGTTTGGGGTATTTTTAAAGTGTTTATTTTTTTCGTCCAAAGCCCGCCTGTAGGGGAACATGCCCGACCGAAGTCTGGGCGAGCCTGCAGATTGTCTTCCGCCTTGGCCTGCCTCTTGTGGACACTGCAGCTCGAACCACGAAAAAGCAGCACGAGGACTCCCTTTTGGAGCTCCGCGTGGATTTCTTTGGTCGGCGCTGGTCCCCCGCTGGCGGTGCCTCCGGCACCTCGAGGAGGGGATCTGGTGCCGATCCAAGAGCCCGCGCGGACCTTCGAAGCATTTGTCGCTAATGCTCCTTCTCTTTGCTCCTCTGGCAGCGGCCCCGCGACGCGCATCTGACACGACCTCACCCAGCACGTGTCGCGTCCCAGTCCCGCGTTCCTTCCAGGGCGTGTCGCACGCGCAGTGTGACCTCGCCTGCGTGTCTCTGGGTCGCCCTGCTCTCGCAGCCGAGAGCTGCCAGCCTGCTAGTAGGGCCCGCGCGTGCACGCACACGCATGCGCGCAAGAAATGGCAGTTCGATCTGTGCGAATATCGAATGCCCTTTGCAAACATATGTGCTCGGACCGGATTTTCTGCCGATGAAACAGCATGTTGGCCCACATTTTTCTCCTCCCGCCGATTTGGCGGCCTTTGGGCTGTCTTTGGGTCCCCGTGGGCCATCCAGAGGCCCTTTGGGGGGCCCTACTGGGCCGTCCTGTAGCGGTCTTGGGGTACTCTTGAGCCGTCGATGGAGTCCCGAAGATCGAGCACGGGATTATATCCCCCAGATGTATTGAATGGCCTTGGGCCCATCCTGCCACCGTTCCTTGTGCGTGGATATGAAGCCTATTGGATGTTCGTTGGGATCCCGTGGGGGCCTCTCGGGGACCTCTCGGAGGCAGTTTTCGGGCCTCTTGTGGGCCGTTTGGGGGCCTCGTGGCCTCTTAAGGGCCTCTTGGGGACCCCTTGGGCCTCCTGGAGGCCTGCTGGAGCCTCCTGGGTCTTGGGCGCCTCTCGGGGCCTCCTGGGGGCCTCTTAGGGCGGAAGGCTCGGATTTTTGCTTCGTGTTCCCTTTTGGGGCCGTCTTGGGCGCCTCTTGGGCCGTCTTGGGGCGCTCTTAGGCCGTCTTGGGGCCCCTTTGGAGGCCTCTTGGGCTGTCTTGGGATGGTTTTTGATGCCTTGGGCCGTCTTAGAGCGTCGGAAAGCAGAAAAGGCGAGCACGCCCAAACGCTTCACAACGTTTGGGAAATCAACGATGTCTGCCTCTTGGGAGGCCTCTCGGAGGCCTCGTCTTGGAGGCCTCTTGAGCCAGCCTGAGGCCTTCTTGGGCGTCTTGGAGCGATCTTTCGGCGACTCGGGGCCCTCTTGGACCGTCTTGGGGGCCCCTTAGGGGCCCTCTTGGCCAGCCCTGGGGCCCTCGTGGGCCCCGAAAGCTCATGCGGGCAGATGCCGGGTAGCCCATGGGGGCACGCGGGAAGCCCCGGGGGATCTGACAACGTGGGTTCCAGGCCCCTGGACGCTTTTCAGGAGCCCACTCCGTGGTGGAGGAGGAGGAGGAGGAGGAGGAGGAGGAGGAGGAGGAGGGGGAGGGGGAGGAGGAGGAGGAGGGCCCCGCTCGGCGCAGCTCCCTGGGCGGGGCCGCACCTCTCCGGATGGCGAGGCCGCAGCCTCCTCTGGGCGGGGCTGCGGGGGGCACGGGGGCCCCGCTCGGCGAGGCGCGCCCTCGGGGGGGGGCACGGTGGTGGATCAGGATCAGTTGTTTTGGACCCCGGATGCCCTCTTTGGGAGTCCTCGTGGGGCCCTCTGGGGACGTCTTGGGGGCCCCTTGGGCCAGCTCGAGGCCGTCCTGGGCCGTCTCGGGGCCTTCTTGGACCCGACTCGGAGCTCTCTTGCACCGCCCCCTCTGGGCGAATTTCTGGCGCGTCGGAGCGCACTTCTGGAGCAGATGCCGAATAGGCTATAGGGGATTGACTACACGATGGATTTCCCCTCAAAAGTGGCTCGTTTTCGAATCCACGAAAGCAGCGTTTCATGGTCGTATATCCACGAGCAGTATCTGCATTTTTCTTTGTACACTCGACGAGACAATTAATTCTGGGGTAAATCAATTCTGAAGACGCTCCCCTACTCGAGGCGCAGATGGTCCCAGGACCCCCCTTCCAAATCGTCTGGACTGGGCTCCCAGGCTTTGTGGGGGGGCAGCGGTCTTGCACGCCGTGGACGCCCCGAGAGGAAGGCGCATTCGGCGGTGGCCCATTCTCGGAAAGCCAGAGATGCTCTACAATGGAGTCCAGGTCAGACCCGATCTGCATCCGATCGAAGGCATGTCGGGACTGTGTGTTTCCCCATCTGGACCCCTCCAGAGTGGATTCAAGAGGCTTGCGCGATTCCGCCGGCCGTCAGAAGAGGAGATGACGGCTTCCGACTCCGTGCGTGTTGTTTGACGCTTCTCGTCGTGAGTTGTCGCTGATTCGTCCTCCTGCTGCCCCGCGTCTGTGCGCGGGGCTTCTCTTGGAGGTTGTGCCAAGGCTCCCTGGGGCGTTTTTCCGGGCCATCTGGGGGGACTTCTTGGGGGCCTCTCGGGGGCCATCCTGTGTGGCGGGTGGCTCCGTGAGTTCTGGCGGCTTCTCCCTATGGGGCGTCTCTTGGGCCCCTCTGGAGGGCCTCTCGAAGGGCTCTCTCTCTCTTGGGGGAACGCTTGGGCTTGGGGCCCTCTTGGGCCGTCTCCGTGCCTTCCTGGGGGCCCATGCGCCGTCTTGGCTCGCGCCGTGTTGGCCTCGCAGACGCCCCTGAAGGCGAGCTCGAGACCATCCTCGAAAAGCATGTGACAAATCAGTGGTGTCGGCCCCTGGAGGCTCTCTCGGCGGTCCCGTGGGGGGGCCCTCTCTCGGCGCCCTGGGCTGCCTTGGGGCCATCTTGGGCGGTCCCGAGGCATCTCTTGCGCGAGGGAGCCCTCCTGGAGCCAGCTTGCAGAACGCATCCTGGACACCGAGGCGGCCACGGAGGGCTGATTTTGACGATCCAAGGGCCCTGGAGTTCAGTCGGGCATGTCCCTCTACAGGAGGAATGTGCAACAATAGCCAAACAACGCATCTGCGGACGATCTTCGCTTTTGTTGTAACTATTCTTGGATATGGTTCGATTCCTTGCCAATTTTCCGTCCACGATCCGCCAGTAGGAGGACATGCCCGACCCAACCCCGGAGGTGCGTTGACGAACTCGTGCCAACCCCCATCGCCCACCCCCCTTCTGATGGGATGTTGGACCCCAGGGGAGGGGGAAATGCATCTGAGGTGACGGGCAATCCTCTCGCACGCCGTCTCACTCTCGGCAGTCGGGGGTCGGCGGACACCACTGCCTGCCCCGAGAGGGTTCCCATCCCGAGTCGTATTCCGACGGTCCCGAGGCACGGTGAGGACCCCCCGATGCCCCAAACCAGCAAAACTGTCCGCTGCTTTTCTCTCGGGGGTGGACAGAACCCCCAACAGTGACACGTCGATTAGTGAATTGTCCGTTTTCGGTTCTCGAGAGGGCGCCGTGGCCGTTATTTTCCAGGCTTGCGCCCGCCAGGTTTGGACCTCAGGTCGTTTTCACTAAACCACGTTTTACTAAAGGGGGGTCTGTCCATCCCCGATTATTTCCGCGACGGGATGAGAAGGGGGGGCGGGCTCGCGCAGGTTTCGGCTCGACAGGGGGTCCAGCATCATCGGAGGGCGCAGCTCTTCGAGCCCCCCCCCCCCTGGCGCCACGTCTGCCCCTGCTTCTGCGCCCGCAGCCTCCCCCGTGCGTGCCAGCTTCGAGTTTGGGGGGGATGCCAGCTTTGAGCTTTGGGGGGGAGGGGGGCCGTTCGGCCCTCGGCCGTCGATCCTGAATCTTCGACCCTCTGCCCAGGGCTGGACCCAGACGCTGTTTTGCTGCACTTGCCCAGGTGCAGGAAAACGGGTGGAGCAAGGCGAAACACAGAAGGACGACAGAACGAAACACAACGTTTAGGTCCAGCCCTGCCTCTGCCCTCCTGGCCGCCCCTCGTGCTGCTCTGCTCCTCCCCCTCCCCCTCGCCCTCGCCGTTGCCCTTCCCCCTCCCCCGCGTGGCCCTCGCCCTCGCCCTCGCCCTCCCCCTCGCCCTTCCCCTCCCTAGGCTTACGTCGGGCGTGTCCCCCTACAGGAGGAACATTCAAGAACAGGACAAATAGTCCGGGGACGATTCTTAAGGATTTGTTCATTATTTATACATATATGTATTCATTTTGATTATTTCTTATTTTTCGTCCAATGTCCGCCTGTAGGGGGACATGCCCGACCGAACCCTAGGCTTCCTAAATGGGGTCGGGGTAGATGAGGTCGGAGGATCGCGCCACATCGCCGATGCATCGCTCGCGCGGCTCGATGTGGAGCCCGATTTGCTTCACGTCGACGTCGCCGATGCATCGCCGGTGCGTCGCCGATGCATTGCCGGTGCGTCGCCGATACATCGCCGACGCATCGCCGATGCATCGGCGATGCGGCGCGATCCTCCGACCCCACCTCGGAGGCCTCCACCCTCGCCCTCGCCCTTGCCCTCTCCCCCCCCTCCCCGTCGACCTCCCCTTGGTCCTCCCCTGCTCCTCCACGCCCTCGCCCTTCGAGTAGGGGATCGTCTGCAGAATCCATTTGTCCCAGACTTGATCTGTGCGTCGAATCCACGAAAAATGCGTATCATGCTCGAAGATCTACGAACGCTGTGCGTACTCTTGGTATATTCGACGAGCAAATCAAGTTTGGGGTACATCAATTCTGTTGACGATCCCTTACTCGAGCCCTGCCCCCTTCCCCTCTCTCCGTTGCATCTCCTGGGAGGTTACACTCGGCATCGGCGCCGGTGCGTCCGCGGTCGAGAATGTTAGTCTTGCTCTGGCCCAGATCCCGCCGAGTCCGTCCGAGTCCCGCCGATTCTGGCCTCATCCTGGGCCTGATCTGCCCAGTGGCAGGGCTCATTTCGATCCCTCCGATTCGATTCGATTCGATTTCGGTGGCTTCCAATTCAGATTCGATTCGACTCTGGATTCCGATTTGGGCTCCGATTTTTCAGTGGAGGCCTACTAGGCTGCCGATTTCCGTCGATCCAATTTTTCCCAACTCGGCTGCCAATTTCCGCCGATCCGTTTCGTTTCGATCGCCGATCTGGCCTATCGATTCGATTCTGGGCTCTCCTGCAGTGGCCCCTCAATCGGGCTCCCGCGGCCCTCCACCGTGCCGGCAGGGACCCCGTGCCGGCAGGGAACTCCCTGGAGTGGCCTCCTGACTCGCAGGCGGTTTCTCGACACCGCTCCCCGAGGACGGACGGCACGTCAGACACCCAGGCGGTGCGTGGATAAGAATGGCAGGGCGCACATGTGCATCGCCGACGGCCAATAGCCTCGCAATCAGCACGGATCATCCCCAGAGCGAGTAGGGAAAAGGAAGGAGGACCAGGAGGAGGAGGAGGAGGAGGAGGAGGAGGAGGAGGAGGCCGCCCAGAAAAGAAGCTCGGAGACACACCCTCAGAGGGCCATTTTGACGCACACCCCTATCGAGGACATGGACGCCCCGCCTCCCCCCATCGTGCATCTCAGGTTTCTTTTTTTTGGTGCGGGGGCCCCTCGGAGGTCCCATAATGTTGGAGATTGGGTCGACAATCGATAACAGCAGCGTGTGAAGAGTTCCAGGAGGAGCGACAGCAACACCAACATCAGCAGACACACGACAAGGAAGAGGAAGACGACACTAGCACAGACAGCACTCAATGGAGCGATTTGGAACAGGCATTCCTACTCCACAGACAGCACCGACCACAAGTTCCACACCTGCGACTGGGGGCCCCGGCCCGCCCCCGCCGGCCGTCCAGGCCCCGCCCCCAGGCGGACTCAGGCGCGCCTTTCCTTGCCTTGCCCCCTGGCTCCGCCCGCTCTCCCCCAGTCGCTCTCGCGGCCCCCCAGTCGGGCTGACGAGTGTACCTCCCAGGAGTTGCCTTCGGACCCCCTCCCCCCTTTCCCCTCGCCCTCGCCCGCGCCCTTCTCCCAGGAGTCGCCTCCTGATCCCCCTCCCCTTTCCCCTCGCCTCCGCCTGCAGGAGGAGGAGGAGGAGGAGGAGGAGGAGGAGGAGGAGGAGGAGGAGGAGGAGGGAGGAGGAGGAGGAGGAGGAGGCCCCCTCCCCCCTCCATGGCCCCAGTCGGGCGACGAGTGCCTCCACGGAGTCGCCTCCTGACCCCCTCCCCTTTCCCCTCGCCTCCGCCCCAGCAGGAGGGAGGAGGAGGAGGAGGAGGAGGAGGAGGAGGAGGAGGAGGAGGAGAGGGACGAGGACAGGAGGAGGAGGAGGAGGAGGGAGGAGGAGGAGGAGGAGGAGGAGGCCCTCCCCCCTCCATAGCCCCAGTCGGGCCGACGAGTGCCTCCACGGAGTCGCCTCCTGACCCCCTCCCTTCCCTCGCCTCCGCCTGACAGGAGGAGGAGGAGGAGGAGGAGGAGGGAGGAGGAGGAGGAGGAGGAGGAGGAGGAGGAGGAGGAGGAGGAGGAGGAGGAGGCCCCCTCCCCCTCCATAGCCCCAGTCGGGCCGACGAGTGCCTCCACGGAGTCGCCTCCTGACCCCCCTCCCTTTCCCTCGCCTCCGCCTGCAGGAGGAGGAGGAGGAGGAGGAGGAGGAGGAGGAGGGAGGAGGAGGAGGAGGAGGAGGGAGGACGAGGAGGAGGAGGAGGAGGAGGAGGAGGAGGAGGAGGAGGAGGAGGAGGAGGAGGAGGCCCCCTCCCCCCTCCATAGCCCCAGTCGGGCCGACGAGTGCCTCCACGGAGTCGCCTCCTAACCCCCCTCCCCTTTCCCCTCGCCTCCGCCTGCAGCAGCAGGAGGAGGAGGAGAAGGAGGAGGAGGAGGAGGAGGAGGAGGAGGAGGAGGAGGAGGAGGAGGAGGAGCCCCCCCCTCGCGGCCCGCACCACAGGAGAGCAACCCGAGCTCGGTGCACACCACCTCCCCCTGAGGGCGAGGGCACGGCGGGGGGCAGAGCTCCACCGCGGGGGGCCGTGTCTTCCCAGGGGGTGCTGCCGCGGAGGGATGTGGGCCAGAGGTGGGGGCTTAGCTGCGTCGGTACCCATCGGTGGTTGAAAGTAGGTCTTGTTGGATTCCCAGAGTCCAATCTACTTCAAGCGCCTTCCTACTTCAAGAATCGATCTGCTTTCTTTTGCTGCACTTTCTTGCTCTCTGGGCGGGCCCGAACCCGATCTACTTTTTTCCGCCTCCCTACTTGATGTTTCTACCTACTTCTTCCGACCGATGGGTACGCCCTTCTGTTGCGCGGCACGTGCCGTGCTCAAAGCGTCCGTGCCGATACGTGCTGGGAGCTGGCTCTGCGTATTGGCCCACGTGTCGGCGAACGGATCGCGTCAGCCCTACGTTTTCAGTCTACGTGCTGAGCTCCGTATCCATGCGCTACGTGTTGCGTGCTGCGCATCGGATGAGCTAACGTGGAGAAGGAGGGAAGGGATTTGGGCCCATCATGATGTCCATTCTCCCTCTTCTCACTCATGCCCTCCTCCTTCCCCACGACGCGTGGCTCTCCGATCGCTCTTCCATGACGCGCGGCTCCTTGACGTGAGGATCTGGGACAGGAGGAGGAGGAAGAGGAGGAGGAGGAGGAGAAGGAGGAGGAGGAGGAGGGCGATGACGAGCATGAGCAGGTGGAGGAGGAGCTGGAGGATGTCGCGCCGGGCTGCCCCTCCCCAATCCTCTTCCCTCGTCCTCCTCATCCTCCGCGGCAGTTGTACGTACCCAGCCTCGGCTGGGAGGCGGCGGCGCGTGCCGGCGTGGCGCGGTCCCGCGGGGGCCGCGCGACGCGGCGCGCGCGGCAACTGGGGCACGCCCGCGCGTGTCGCGGGCCGGCCAGCCAGCAACAGGGGCAACGAGAGGGGGGGGCAGCTGGGCACAGGTGGGGAGTCATCGGCCCCCAATCGTCCATGGAGCGCCGACAGGGGCCCGGTGGCCCCAGCCTGCCCAGGAGGGTGCGGTCTCGCGATCGGCCCTTCGCCGATCCATCGGCGACGTATCGCCGATTCCAGGTCGATGCTCCCCTCCCCCACGCCAGACCCCCCCCTATCCTTGCCCCTCACAGCAAGGGGCGGGGGTGGGTGGAAGGAGGAACAGCGGAGTGAGCAGCTGGGCCGCCCCGATGCGCAACGCACAGCCGATGGCGTGTTGACAGGGGTGCTCGCAACGTGTACTGAAAACGTGGGTCTGGCGCGACACGTTTGCCAGAACGTTGGCCAACACGTGCCCAGGCAGCTCGCAGCGTATTGACACGGACGTTCTGAGCACGTTGCGCGCTGCGCTTCGAAACGAGCGTCTCAGGGCAGCTGAGGGCGGGGCGGAAGCTGTCGGAGGTCCCACTCACGAGCGGCGCCCTCGCGGTCTTGATCCTGGGGCGCGATCCCGTGGATGACGCTCTCACGCGGATACGCTCCGCGCGGGGCATCCGCAAACAAAGCGGCTCGTATCCGCGGGGTAGCGGGCGGCCAAGGGGCCCGGCCGGCGAGGCTGCGGATACGGAGGGGGCCGGGGTCAGCCGAAGAATGCGCAACGGAACGAGCAACAACATGTTTTTGAAGTCCCATTGCTTATCTGAGGAGGGTCGTCGTCATGAGCATCAACTTTCGGTGGTGCGCGCGGGTTTCTTGGATCTTCGCCGGACCCCCCCGTCAGGCTTCTCTAGCGCCGCCCCTGGTGCGCTACGCGTGCCATTGAACGGGGTCTCAGCGCCGACCCAAGACATCCGCGGACCTCTCGAAGTTCATGTTTATCCTGATTTGGGTTGTGTATTTCGACCGTCGGGCGGCAAGAAAGAGGAAGGCTGGGGAGCAGAAGGTGAGGGGCTCCCGAAGGGGGTGCAGACCATGGGTGTTTCACGGGTCCGCTCGCACCCAGATTGGTGGCGGCCTCTCAGATAGAACGCTCGCTTTGGGAAACGGGCGTGTGTGTGTGTTTGTTGTGTGTGTGTTGTGTGTGTGTGTGTGTGTTGCGTGTGTGCATGTGTTCAGGGGCCCGTGATCACTGCAATGTAACAGGCATCGCAATTGTGCCTCATGAGGGGGGCTCGATCACGGAGGGGTCACAAGCTCGTTCGCGCCCAGATTGGTGGAACCCCTCGGGCAGTACGCCTGTTTGGGGAAGTGGGCGTGTGTCTCGTCAGAGCCCCAGAAAATTGGTGGAGGTGTCTTGGAGCGGGCGTGGGTCAGGGTAGTAATTGAGCACAGGCAAACGCCTGCACTGCCAGATAGCGCACGAGTGCGTTCGCGCACAAGCAGCGGCGCGCTGTTCCGCCGGCTGTCCGTTCCTCCCCCCTGTTGGCCTCACTCCCCTCTCAGCTGGGGGCGGCACGCGACACCACGCCAACCGAAATGGTAGCCCTAGTCCTTGTCCTCTTCCTCTTCCCCGTCCCGTGGTCTTCTCTCTCTCTCTCTCTTTCTTTTTCTGTTCTCTCTCTCTCTCTCTCTCTCTCTCCTCTCTCTCTCTCTCTCTCTCTCTCTCTCCTGCAGGATGTTCGTTTCCGAACCCGGCTTCCTGCCCTTCCGCTCCGCACCCTGCGCAGATGCCGAGCTCTGTCCGCCCCGTGCACCTCCCTGGCCCTCGGCGCGTCTACGGGCCGCCTCCCTGCCCCGTGCTCTCTCTCCCCTCTCTCTCTCGCTGTCCTGCCCGGCCTGCGTGGCGCGAGCTGCTGCCAGATGCTTCGAGTAGGGGGCCACATGCGAACCCTACCCCTACCCTCCCCTCAGAAATCGTGGGGGGTCGGGGTAGGGTTCACATCTGGCCCCCTAAGCTGCTGCCAGATGCTTCGAGATGGCACGGCGGGGCTGCGCACAGGGCGGGCAAGCGCGAATCGGGGCGCGTGCGCTCCAAACGTGTGGGGCCCGCGCCGGCCTGCGTTCCTGCCGCCCTCTTCCTGCCCCTCTCCTCCCTCGTCCGTGCATCCCTCCCCGGCTCCTGCCTGGCTGCAGCCCGCATGGCTCCTCCTTCCGAGCAGCCCTGCCTCTGTGCTCGGCATCCGTTGATCGGTCTCCTCGGAGGGAGCGGCTCCCGCTCACGCGAAGCACGTCGCACTCATGCTTGCTGCCTCCGTGCAGCCTTAGGGCAGGCAGACGTCGACGTCGTCGCTCCTCTCCTCCTTCTGGCCCGGGGCAGGGGGGGTCCTGGCGCAGCCCCCCGGCCTGGAGGGTCCCACTCCTCCTCAAGGGGTCCCAGGGAGAGGGGGGGCCGGGGGGTACTGGCAGGGGGGGGGCTGAGCCAGCGCCGTCTCTGTCCGCGTCGTCGTGGTCGTCGTGGTCGTCGTCGTCGTCGTCGTCGTCGTCGTCGTCGTCGACGTCGTCGTCGTCGTCGTCGTCGTCGTCGTCGCCGTTGCTAGTTGCGTCGGCGCCATCGTCGGCGCCGGGGTCGACGTTCGCCTTGTCGGGCTCGAGGGTGGGGGGTCACCTCCCAGCCCGAGAGTGGGCCAGGGGCAACTTTCCAGGGGGGGAGGGGGGGCATAGGGGGGGATGCATCGACCACCAATCGCCCATTGATCGCCGACAGGGGCCCGATAGCCCCACCCTGCCCAGGGAACGTGGAGTTCGGCTATCGAGGGCCTATCGCCGTGCTATCGGCGATGGATCGCTTATTCCAGGTCGATGTCCCCCCCTAATGCCAGTGCCCCCCTATCGTTGCCCCCCAGGCGTCTGATTTTTTCCACGCGCAGTCTCCGGAAGTCCCGACCCTTCGCCCCAGCCCCGTTTCTCATCCCGAGTCGTTCTTGGCGGGCACGGCGAGGGCCTCCAGAGGCCGAGAACGACGATAACCTTCCTTTTTGATTCTTACACGTCCAGGCCGATGTTTCCCCCCCCCTCCTCCTCCTCCTCCTCCTCCTCCTCCTCCTCCTCCTCCTCCTCTTCCTCCTCCTCCTCCTCCTCCTCCTCCTCCTCCTTCCGCCTGTCGTTGCCCCTCCGTGGGGGTCGTCCTGTCTCTGGAGGCCTCTCCGGGCTCGCGAGGGTGGGGGTGGCCCCCTCGCAGCCGGAGGGTCGGGGCACACTGGAGGCCCGTGCCAAGAAGCACTCTGCTCGCCTCCAGGGTGCCCTGGGTTTCTTGGGTTTCGATGGGCTTGCTGTGCTCCCACACCAAACATCAAAGGACGTCCTGGGGTCTCAAGGTTTAAGTCGGGCCTGTCTCTCTAAAGGAAGAAGATTCAAACATAGTCCCACAATACTCCGGGGACGATGTTTTGACATGTTGCTGCCACTTTGGGACTTTTTTGGACTATCTTGTGGTTTTCCGTCCAAAATCCGCCTGTAGGGGGACATGACCGACCGAACTCAAAGTTTCACAGTCCAGTGTCCCGCAGGGCTTGAGCTAAACGGTGTTTTGGCAATTTCGTGCACCGTTTTCGTTTTGGCTTCGTTTTGCGGCCGCAAGGGGCCCCTCCAGGGGCAGCGGTGGCTCGGCGCTGCGGGCTGGTGCTGGGGCTCCCAGGGCCTCCCAGGTCGGGGGCGCGAGAGAGTGTCAACGTCACGCCGCCGCGGGGGCCCCCAGGGGCCCCATCGGCGCGCTGTTCCCTCGTTCTTCGCCCGAGAAAAAGAAAGCAACGCGCATCGACAGTGACACGCCGATGGGGGGGCCCTGGGGGCCCCCGCGGCGGCGTGGCATTGATACTCTTTCGCCCCCCCCCCCCCACGATCTAGGCCTCCCAGATGAGGTCGGAGTACGTTTTTTTTGGGGGGGGGGGGCTTACTTTTTCAATCCGCGGGCCCACAGAGCTCCCGACCCCTTCACAGATAGTGCTGTGTCGTCGCGGATCCACTTTTGATGCCCCCGGGATCTCGTGAAGGGCCCCAGGGGCCGACGTCGAGGAGAAACGCTATGATTTCAGGAAATCCTCCCGTCGGAGGTCTGGGACTCCAGGCCTCCCAGGTCCGAGTGGATGGGGTCGGAGGATCGCGCGGCGACGCATGTCAACCCGCCCGC